ACTACTACTACTACTACTACTACTACTACTACTACTACTACTACTACTACTACCTAATACCTACTACCTACTACCTACTACCTACTACCTACTACCTACTACCTACTACCTACTACCTACTACCTACTACCTACTACCTACTACCTACTCCCTACTACCTACTACCTACTACCTACTACCTACTACCTACTACCTACTACCTACTACCTACTACCTACTACCTACTACCTACTACTACTACTACTACTACTACTACTACTACTACTACTACTACGACTACTACGACTATACGACTACTACGACGACTACGACTACTACGACTACTACTACTACTACTACTACTACTACGACTACTACTACTACTACTACGACTACGACGACGACGACGACGACACGACGACGACTACTCTACTACTACTACTACTACTACTACTACTACTACTACTACTACTACTACTACTACTACTACTACTACTACTACTACTACTACTACTACTACTACTACTACTACTACTACTACTACTACTACTACTACTACTACGACTACTACTACTACCACGACTACGACAACAACTACTACATGGCGGGCACCCCATGAGACCCCTGAAATCAATCCAAGACCTTGGTGAGAAATCGATGATTTGGGCCTCTTGGGGCCCTCTTGGCGGGCCTCTTGGAACCCTCTCAGGGCTGATTTGAATGTCGTGTAAGCGTCTGGAGCTTGCCGTCTGAAACAAATATACGCTGTCTTCCATGTCCCTTGGCACCGGCTTGTGGAAATCCACGGCCGCCTTCACCCATATGGAGGCTGAGCGTTTCCCCCGGAAAGGCTGAACACGTGAAACATACCCTGGGGGCTAAATTGGGCACCAAGGGCGGCAGCCCCAGTTGTACATATATTTATACATAGATATACACACATCACACATAGAGACATGATTGCCCCCCTCCCCAGCACCCCCAAACGACGATCTGGGGGGGGGGGCATCCTCTTCATCATCATTTTCTTCTTCCTCCTGCGCTTCTTCCTCCTCCTGCTCCGTCTCATCATCCTCATTCTGCGCCCTCTCCAGGGAAGTGGATTGAGGTACGCATTCAAAGGATGACAACGTGGAGGAAAGAAGGGAGGAGGAGGAGGAGGAGGAGGGAGGACGAGAGATAAGAAGGAGAGAGCGACGAGGTAGGGGAGGAGAAAGATGGGAGGGAACATAGATGAGGGAGAATGCAGGAGGCCGGACGTAAAGAGGAGGAGAAGAGGAGGAGGAGGAGGAAGGGGGAGGAGGAGGATCAGGAGGAGGAGGGTCAGGAGGAACAAGACAAATGGGATGATGAGCAAGAACGTGCACGCCGCACCGCGCCGAGGATTCAAGCACCTCCTCGCGCCCCCCCAATCGCAGGCTGCTGTCTCTGGCTATACGGGGAATCCGCTGCCAGGGACAGTCGCCTTCGCCAAGAAGGTCTTCCAGGATCAGACCGCCTAAACAATTTCCACCTCGAGGGCCCCCCGCTTCCAAACCACGCCAAACTGAGCAGCCAAATCATGCGTATAGCGTGGTGCGACTTGGCATGGTTTGATCATATGCAGAAGGGGATAGCGAAGATAACGCTCTTGAAGCGCCGCAGCATGGCCTTTGAGAGCCGGGTGGAGTAGCTAGGAGACGAGAAGGCGGAGTTGTATGATGCCGCGGTGCGGCTGGAGGACCTCCGCGCAAAAGGGGGAGGCAGCGGGCGGGCAGCCTTTTCATTTGTACTGCTTTCCTGCCAGAAAACTGAAACACATACCCAAACACGAACACGACACAGCGCAACGCGCACAACAAACACTCAGTACAGCTTTCAAGAGAAGCGGAAGGAAGAGAAGCAGCTGCGCGAGCGGAAGGAGGCGGAGGCCAGGGAGACTCACCGCCAGTTGGCGGCTTGGAACAACTGGCGACCACTGGCAAAGCAGAGACAGCGGCGCCACCTGGGCTGCCAGGAGCAGCTGCGGGGAGGAACCGGGGGGCTGCCCCCGAGCGCAGATGCTGCGGTCGTCTTTTCTTCGCCTTCGAGGTGGGAAAGCCTCGCCAGGGCGTGCGGCCAGGAGCTCTCCCCCAAAGTGCGCAAGCAGGCTGCGAGACTGGAACGCCACTGGCCCCGGGAGACCTCCGCGCCCGCCCCCGCGACGGCGCGGGCCAGCAGGGCGCGGGGGGGAGGCGGCGCGCGGCGGAGGGCGGGGCCCTCGAGGGCCGCCGCAGAAACGACCGCCCCCCGCCACGGAACAGGCGGAGGGAGAGGGCTGCACCGCGACGAGCAGGAAGGCCGACGACGACGACGACGACGACGAGGGGCTGCTCCCCTCAGACGAGCCCAAGAGGCGGCTGCGCTGCGCCGAGCACTGCGGGGAGGAAGAGGGGGACGACGACGGCAGGCAGGAGAGGGGGAGAGAACTCGAGAGCGAGAGAGAGGGACGGAGGGGGCAAACAAAACCAACGAGCACAACCACGCGAACTCTTGCAAGGCGGACTGCCCTCGAGGGCAACCGTGAGCAGGGCTGGGATACCACCAACAAGTGCTATACACGAATTGTTATGTGCTTGTTTGATCCGGGATACCACCAAGCCAAACCATACCCATATTTGTCTGGGCGGGCCAAGTTCGCGCCGCGCATTTGGACCGGCCAAGTTTGCGGGCCTCCTGGAAACCCACGAAAACGCGTGCGTGCGTGTATAGTATGGCTTGGTGGTCTCCCATGTTGGAGAAACAATAAAAACAACTGGGTATAGTATGGTCTGGTGGGCATGCTCCTCCCGCAAGCGCTCCTTGCCAACATGTTCGGACCTTCGGCAAACCAAGAAAAACAGCACAACCTGTGTACAGTAGGGCTTGACGGTATCCCAGACAAACCAACAACACATGTGATTAGCAGCGTTCGGTGGTATTCGGGCATCGCCAGATCAGAAGGAGGAGGTGGAAAGGAGTGAAAGAATGAGTCAGATTCGTTTTGGAGAGGAGGAGGAGGAGGTGGAAAGGAGAAGGTACAGGATGAGGAGAAGGAGGAGGGGAAGGAGGACAATGAGAAGGAGAAAACGATCAGTCAATGCTTTGTTTGGTTTGATTGTTTGGGGGTGCGCGGGGGACGACACTGCATATATATATATATACACACCTATATACATATATATACACATGAATAAATACAAGACTGCAATGCCGATTCGCACCATGCAGCTTGGTCCTTAATGCTTGGCATGCAGGCGGCAGGCCAGGAAGGTATAGCTGCGAATGTAGCGATAACTTCAGGTTGCAAGTTCCGACATCGACATTTTCAAAATGTTGTCAAGTCTATTTCCCTCAGGTTTTCTCTTCCTCCTCCTCATTGTAGATCTACCCTCCAAAGTTGTTCCCATCTTCTATACTTCTTTTTGCGGAGGTACCTGCTTGGAGTTACAGGGTACTTGGGGCCTTCTGGAGGCCTCCTGGGTTCCTCCTGGGGGCTTCCTCGGGCCACCCTGCTTCCGACCGCGGTCTCCCTGCACGACCGGGCAACGACTTGGAAGGCCATGGGGGGCGTCTTGGGGCCATCTTGGGCCGGCATGGGGGCTCTGCTCGGACCATCTTGGGGTCCTGTTGGCCCGCCTGGGGGCTCTCCCCGGACTGCCGGGAAGACCTTCTGGGCAGGCTTGGGCCGGTGTGCTGGCCTCCTGGGCGGGCTCGGACGCTGGGCAGACCGACGAACAGAGCAGTCCCAAAAGCACACCAAGATCGCATGGGGGCTCCACGCATCCTTGCGTCTGGCATGCCGCACGCCTCTCACAGGGGTCTTCTTCGGGTCCCCTTCGGGCGTCTTGTGGGTGTCTGGGGCCTCCTGGGGCTCTCGCGGGGCCGCGGGGCAGCTCGGGAGCCCTCCTGACCGATTTGGGTCCGGTGCCCAGGCCCAGAGGGGGCATCCAGGAGCATCGGAAAGCCCATGGTACCTTCTGCAGTCCCCCCCCCCCGCCCGGATTGAAAAAAGATAGGAAGGGGACTACCTTATACACACATTTATGTATATATACACATATGCTCTGTACATACTCATAGATCGAACATATATATATATATATATATACATGTATGTGTATGAATTTATATATACATGTATATGTATAAATCTATGTACACGTATATATGTACATTCGTACATACATATATATATATATATATATGTCAATGTGCATGCATGCATGTATGCCTGCACGTATGCATGTCTCTCTGTCTGTCTGTATGTATGTATGTATGTATGTATGTATGTATGTAGGTATGTAAATCTTTATGTGTATATATATATAGATTTTGCTGACCGTCGAAAGGGCCCCCTTTGGGGGGGACTCTTCAGGCCTTTTTCAGGCGGTCTTGGAAACCTACTGGGCCGTCTTGGGGCCCTCTGGGACCATCTTGGTCCCTCGGGGTAATCTAGGGGGCCTCTTGGGGCTGTTCTAAGGCGGTCTGGGGGCCCAGTTGGGCTGTCTTGGCCCTCCAGGGCCCACTTGGAGCGTCTTGGGGCCGTCTTGGCCCCCTCTTGGGCCGTCCTGGGTTCGTCTTGGGGCCCTTTTGGGCGCCTGCTGGGACATATTGTAGCGATCTCGGGGGCCTCTTCGGCCGTCTCGAGCGCTCTGGAGACCCGGAAGCCGAATATACAACGAATGCAAGTATGCAAAATCTATACTTTGCGCCTCCTGGTGGCCTCTTGGGAATCATCTGCGGGCCCCCTGGGGACATCTGGGGAGCCCGTTAGGCCGTCGAGTGGCCGTCGTGAGCCCATCTTGGGGCCCTCTTGGGCCCATCGTTGCCGTCTGGGGGAGCTCGCCGGGCCCTCCTGGGGCATCCTGGAACCCTCAGGGGCCGTCTTGGGGCCACCTGGGGACATCTTGGGCCCTCCTGGCGCGCTCCCCAATCAGGCTCCCAGCCAGACCCGGGGTTGTGCCAGGTCAGTTTTCCATGTGTATAGGTGCTTACTGTAGCAGTACAGCTGTCTACATATACACATGTATATACACACCTGGCTTCCCTCGCGTAAGATCCCACAAGATCTGGCGACCATTTCAATCCGATTCTAGTACAGCTGGCTACTTCTGTGGTGGGAGCCAACCGTACCATCTTGTTGACTCTTGCGGATCGACCCTAATCGACGCTAGTGGAAGGCAATTCGACGCTGATCGACGCTAGGGCGGCGCTATCTCATGCACTACTAGACGCCAGTCGACGCGAATGCACTTTGAAGACGGACCTGCGAGGGCCTACGAGGCTCCCATGATTTTCTACCGACCGATTCTAATACAGTAAGGGCCCGATCACAAGAAACCGTCCACAAGAAACCCAACCCTGAGACCCCAGGACGTCCATTGATGTTTGGCATGGGAAAACCACGCATTACATAGCAAAACCATCGAAACCCAAGAAACCAGGGCACCCTGGAGGCAAGCAAGGTGTTTCTTGGCATGGGTCTCCACTGTGCAACTGGCGATCGAACTCTGATGCGATGATGTCGGATCTGCCGAGCTTGGGAAGAGCGCCGGGCGAAAACCCGAAGGCCAACCCAGCGCACGAGGACCACCCGCGGGGCACCCACGGACGGCTAACAGGCGCCACGCAGACCCTGGGGCGCCCACGAGGGAACCGGGGCAACAACCTCGAGCGCAAAGACTGGTTGGAGAGTGTGTGTATGTGTGCCTGCATACATGCAGGTATGCCTCTGCATATAGATGTACGATATGTGTATATAGATATAACTATATATATGTATATACATATATATATATATATATGTAAACATATCTGTACATGCGTTCACGGATCGTCGTGGATGTGCGTGTAGGGGGAGAGGAGAAACAACAAACGCAGGGAAGACAGAGAGGGCGAGAGAGAGAGAGAAACACATAAAACGATGAACTGTGTGTGAGAAAGAGAGAGAGAGAGAGAGACTGAGAGAATAACAAAACACCACAAACTATCTGGAATTGCCTTCGTCCCAGGAAGACTGAAAGACAGAAGGCAACGGAGAAAGCGCGAGAGCGAGAGAGACAGAGAGAGTGGGGTGCGAGTACAGGAGGCAGAGCGAGCACCACCTCTGGAAGATCTTTGTTGGGGGGAAGAGGAGGGGGAGACCTATGGAAGACCAGCGCAGAGAACAGCTCATTCAATATTGATACACATTGGGGAATGGGCTGCGACGAACGATGACGCTGGACATGGTAATGTGAAAGTATGAAGGAGGACTTGCACCCATCCTGCTGAAGGCTCGAGGTCTTTTGGACAGCTTTCTTGAACTTCCCCAAGAGGAACTTCTGCCCGCGCGTACCCTGGATCTTCTGTTCGAAGATATCCTCGCAAGCACAGGGACAAGGAGGATGCAGACGAAAAGAACGGGCACGAGAAGGAAGAGAACGACAAGATCGGCGAGAAGGGATACGAGGACGGTAGCGTGGAAAACGAGGACAGCGTGGACGAGGATGGGGAGAGCGGGGAGGACAGGGAGGGGGGGAGATTCTCGAGGAGGGCTACGAGGAGGACGAGTATGGCAAGTGGGGAGAGGGCGAGGACGATGGGGAGAACGAGTAGGAAACAGACAACGTGAAGAACAGCGTCGAGGGCAAATAATGATGATAACAGTAATGAAACGATAAGGAAGAGGACGACGACGTGAAGATGGACGAGGAACACATTCGCCGGCCCAACGGGCCAGAGGCGTGCTAAGATCTCCGGTAACTGTAACAAGATTTCTAGTTCGCGCGCGCGGGGCGGCCCCTGGGGGTCCCCCAGCGAAAAGTATCCGACCGCAGCCCAGCCCGACCAAGTCTACCCAGAGATGGTTTTGAGGGCCTTTTTTCGACACCCCTCACAAGGATCGTGGCCTCCGAGGGGGGTGCACTCGACTTCCCCGCCCCAAGAGGCCCCCAAGAGCCCCCCAAGAGGCCCAAGGGGCCCCAAGACGCCTCCAAGGAGCCCCAAGAGACCCCCAAGAGGCCCCCAAGGGGCCCCTAGGAGGCCCCAAAGAGGCCCCCAAGAGGCTTCAAAGAGGCCCCATAGAGCGCTCGAGGGCTGGCGGAATGAGCGAAGCGATTAAATAAGCGAGAGCCGTTGGTACTTGCCGTCGCTACGTAAGGGACTACCAGGAGCGTATCATGCTGGCTTCGAGCATGCGGGGCTCCTCAGAAATCTCTTGGGCGCTGCCTGGGAGCCTCTCGGGGACCTTTTGGAGACGTCTGGGCCCTCTTGGACTGTCTGGGCGTGTCTTGGGGAGCTCCGTGGGCTCTCTTGGGCCCTACTGGCGCGTCCCTGGCCGTCTTGGGGCTCCCTTGGGCCGCGGGGCCTCCTGGCAGCCTCAAGAGAGCACCCGCGGCAAACCTTCCCAGAACCGACGAAGACATGCGAAGACGTTTGTCGGCGGTGGACAAACCTCCCTCCAGTAAGCCTCCCTTTAGTGAAAACGGCCTGGGACCAAAACCGGCGGACCTGGACCCGCAGAAATGACGGCCGCGACGCCCTCTCGCGAACCGAAAACGGCCAATTCGCTAATCGACGTGTCAGGGTAGGAGGTCTGTCCACCCCCGAGTTTGAGAGCCTCCAGAGACGTCCCTGCCACCGCCGACACCGCCGGCCCCGCCTTCGCCGCCGCCGCCGCCCGCCGACTCTCTCGTGGGCGAAGACACGCCCGCATCCGCGGCCTTGCGGGCCGGGCCCCCCCGGCCGCGACCCCGCAGATTCCGGGGCGCTCCTTCGCGATGCCCCGCGCGGCACGCAGCCGTGCGACCGCGTTGTCCGCGGGATCGCGCCCCAGTGGAGCGGCAACGGCAGGGGGGGCTGGCACAGGGAGGAGAACATCGACCTGGAATCGGTGGCGCATCCCCGATAGATCGGCGGCAGGCCCCCTACAGTGAATCCTGACGTTCCTGGGCGGGGTGGGGCTATCAGACCAGCGATTGGGGGTCGATGCATCCCCCCCATATTCCTACCCCCCCTATCGTTGCCCCCTGGGGAGTTCAGACAGCGACGATCGAGATGGATCGGATCGGCGGAAATCGGCAGCCGAGCTGGGAATCGTCGAATCGGCGGAAATTGGCAGGCTACTAGGCCTCCATTGAGCGCGGGATCAAAATCGGAAGCCCGAGTCGAATGGAACCGGAATCGGAATCGTTCGAAATCGACTCGAATCGAAAGGATCGATACGAGTCCTGGCGAGGGCGTGGATGCGGACGCGTTCGCCGCGCGGGGGGACCCCCCCGCCCCTCTCGACTTGCCCCGCGGCGCGGCGCCTTGCCACCGAGGCCGCCCTCGGCGCCGGGCGCGTGCGCAAGCGCGCGGCCTCCCCGCGGGCTCACGGCCTGTCGGCGCAGTGGGTGGGGGGGGTGGGGGCCGTTCCGCGACCGCGTCGCGTCACAAAAAAAAGCTCGAGGCCGCAAGATCAAAGGTTCGAGTTTTCTTTTGTGACGTTCTTGCCGGCTCTTTGACGGCCTCTAGCCTCGGGGTGCTCTCCTGCAGCTGCGCCTCGCTCAGGGGCGTTCCGGGGGTGTCCGAGGCGTCTCGAGTGGCCAACGAGCGCCCGAGGGTGGTGGCTCGAAGGCCCGACTTGCCTCGCGCCGTGAAGAAGACACGACGCGAGGTTCCCCTCGGCTACACGCAAGGAGTGGCCCAGGGTAAGAGTGACCTTTGGTGCGCGGCCTAATCTGGGAACGCGGGGCGGCCGACACGCGAGCAAGGCGCTATTACCGCATCGCGTTCGGCGATCGGGGGACCCCAGTGGGCCCGCACCAAAGGTCACTCTGTTGAAAGGACACTCTCACGTCTAGTCGATCGGGCACCTTTCACTGCATGGGCCCAAGGGCCGTCAAAAGACGACAGAAGCATCCGACGTCGCGTTTTTGTCCGCTGGGTGGTCCCCCAAAGATCTGGACCCCTTCACGGGGCTGTTTTTGAACCTGCGTCGGTTCTGGACGGTCCTGGGGCCTGGCGAGGGCCCCCAGAGGGCGAACATTGCCAAAAGCCTTCCGTCGCGGTTTTAGTACAACCTGGAGAAAATCAGGATGAAAAGCCTGTCCCCGGGAAACGGTCCAGCACTCTTGAGGAACCACGTTGCCAACACATCACGGATCGGTAGGTTTGGTTTCCTTGCGTCAGGTCGCGACACTGCTGCTCATCGGTTTCTGCTCGTCCACGGGCCCCGCCCCAGCTCCTGGTTCTTCCCCTCCGCCTGGTCCCCATTCTCCTCCTCCTCCTCCTTCTCCTCCTCCTCCTCCTGCTCCTCCGACTCTGCCTCCTCCTCCTCTTCCTTATTTTCCTTTTCCTCCTCCTCCTCCTCCTGGGCCTCCCTCGTTCCGTCTCCTGCTTTTCTCCATTTCCTAGCGGCGCTCACCAGCGGGTGGCGCGAGGGGGGGGGGGTTCTAAAAGAACGGGTGCCCAAGAAGGCGGGCGGTTTCCTGAAGACACCCTTAGCTTTGAAGAACCATCTGTGAAGTTCCCACGTCCTTCAAAGACGGCCCCTGGCTTTTAGGCTGCACCCCGCCATCTTAGACCTTGAGCAGGGGCCGACCGTCCCGGTATTCCTATAGGCCTACCATGACAAGCTCTTGGAATTCAAGCACGTTCTAAGAACAACACATGTTCTTAGAATATAAGCCCGATGTGTTAGAACAGAACTGTCTCAGCCAGAAGTGTTCTGAGAACATCTCGTGCAGACCACAAAAGGTTATTAGACCATTCTCGGTGGGCCTATAGGCAGGCCAGGACAATTCGCCATTGCTCGAAGACCCCACCGTTCGCGCCACCTCGGTGCGGGCGCTGCCACTCCTCCCCCTTCCGCCCACATCCTCCTCGGAGCCACGGGGGCCGAGCGGCCGGACGCTCTCCCTGGGTGCGCGGCCGAAGTGGGGCTCTGCGGCGAAGACCGCCGCCTTTGTAAGAGGCGACATCCGAGATTCCATCCAACCATCAACACAACACAATCCCCTATCGAGCACTAGGCCCGGTCCAATGCTGGACTCGGTATGGAAACGTGTGAATTAGAAGCGGTCCCAAGTTGTGCATGGCCTGCCTCTGGAACGCTTCGGCCTTGCAGGGAGCTCAGAATCAGCCACGTCGCCTGGGCTCCACTTGGCAATCCCCACCATCCATCGATCTCCCTGAATCGATGGGAAGCGGGGTAAGGTTCGGCTTTCGCCATGTGCGCGGCGAATTCCGAACCCTGCCCCAGCCACCCATTAAGCTGCCTGAATCGTTGACCGGAGAGGGCGAGGTGCAGATTTCGCCGCCGATGTTTGTCGCTCCCCGCCCCGCGACCCACCCGCGGCTCGCCCCGCGGCCCAACCGCGATGCGCCCAGCGACCCAACGAGGGCCCACCCACGACCCACCTGGCATCTGCGGCCGGCTGCTCTGAGGGGGAAGGGGTGGTCAGCAGGGGAAGGGGTGGGGGGGATGTGATCTGGTTTATGTGGCCAACTCTTCGGGTTTTTCTTCGGGGGAGAGGTCCCCGGTTTCGGACCCCCACAGACATGTTCCAGGCCAGCGACGATTGATCACGCTCCCTGTCTGATCCCGAGTCGATTTCAGCAGTCTCGACGCCCGTCGAGGGCTCCAGGAGGCAAAAGATAACGAAAACCTCGAGTCGTGAGTTTTAACGACGCGGAGTCGAGGACCTCTTCCTCCTCCTCCTCCTCCTCCTCCTCCTCCTCCTCCTCCTCCTCCTCCTGCTCTTCCCACTCCTCCTCCTCTTCCTCCTCCTCCTCCTCCTCCTCCTCCTCCGCCTCCCCCTCCTCCCCCTCCTCCATCATCACTTTCCCCTTTCCTCCTCCTCCTCCTCCTCCTCCTCCTCCTCCTCCTCCTCCTCCTCCTCCCCTTCCTCCTCCTCCCCCTCCTCCTCCATCCATGTGCCAGATAACCCCTGGTCGCACCACCACGTGTGTGTCTCATCTGGATGTACTCTGGTCGGCCTTCCTTAGGCAGGCCGCCGAGCGGGAGAGGCGCTCATGGCGTCAGTCGCGCACGCGCGCGCGGGCACAGCCAGCCTGGCCAAACAGGAGCTCGGAGGACAGTCCCTCCCTCGCCTCCGTCGCAGCGAATACCCACTCTGGTCGGCCTCCTCCTCCTCCTCCTCCTCCTCTTCCTCCTCGACCTCGTCTTCCTCCTCCTCCTCCTCCTCCTCCTCCTCCCCTCCTCCCCCTCCTCCTTCTCCTCCCCTTCCTCCTCCTCCTCCTCCTCCTCCCTCCTCCTCCTCCTCCTCCTCCTCCTCCTCCTCCTCGTCCTCCTCCTGCGCTCGTAGCTATTTTTCCTGCGCTCGTACGTATCCCTCCTCCTCCCTCCTCCTCCTCGTCCTCCTCCTCCTCCTCGTCCTCCTCCTCCTCCTCCTCCTCCCCCTCCCCCCCTCCCCCTCCCCTCCTCCTCCTCCTCCTCCCCTCCTCCTCCTCCGCCTCCTCCTCCTCCTCCTCCTCCGCCTCCTCCTCCTCCTCCTCCTCCTCCTCCTCCCTCTCCTCCTCCTCCTCCTCCTCCTCCTCCTCCTCCTCCTCCTCCTCCTCCTCCTCCTCCCCGTGCCGACGGGAGGCTGCAGCCCTGGGGGGAGACTGCGGTGGACGCACGGGGCGCCTGTAAGGGGGCTTGTCTGTCAAGCCCCCGATGAGCACCACCGCAGTGCCCCCCTGGGCTAGGCCCCCCTGGGCGACACAGGCATAATTCGGGCCTTGGAAGGCCTGCCCTTGCACGTCCCCTACCCCGCCTTCCCTCCCTGCCCTCCTCCCCTTCATCCGGTGGGACGCCGAGCTGGACGTCCGTCCTCTTGCTCATCCTGATCCTCCCGATCCCCCCTCGCAGGACTCCTCCGCTGGTCCTCCCTCCACCTATCGTTGTAGGAAGTGCCGCGCCGTGGATGTAGGAGTTGCCACGCCGTGGATGTAGGAAATGACACGCCGTGGATGAAGGAATTGCCACGCCGTGGTTGTACGATTAGCCACGCCGTGGTCGTCGACCTCCTCCTTGGTTCTGGATGTAGGAATTGCCACGCCGTGGATTTTGAGATTGTCACGCCGTGGATGTAGGAATTGCCACGGGTGGTAGTAGGCATTGCCACGCCGTGGATGTAGGACTCGCCACGCCGTGGATGCAGAAATGACCACGCTGTGAATTAAGAAATCGCCACGCCGTGGATGTAGGAATTACCACGCCGTGGATGTAGGAATTACCACGCCGTGGATGTAGGAATGGAATTGCCACGCCGTGGATGTAGGAATTGCCACGCCGTGGATGTAGGAATTGCCACGCCGTGGATGTAGGAATTGCCACGCCGTGGATGTAGGCATTGCCACGCCGTGGATGTATGAATCGCCACGCCGTTGATGTAAGAACTGCCACGCCGTGGATGTAGGAATTGCCGCGCCGTGGATGTAGGAATTGCCAGCCCTCCCCGAGAGGGAGCCGCCCTCCACGAGAAGGAGCCGCCCTCCACGAGAGGGAGCCGCCCTCCACGAGAGGGGGCCGCCCTCCAAGAGAGGGAGCCGCCCCCGCCTTCCACGAGAGGGAGCCGCCCTCCACGAGAGGGAGCCGCCTTCCACGAGAGGGAGCCGCCCTCCACGACAGGGGGCCGCCCTCCACGAGAGGGAGCCGCCCTCCACGAGAGGGAGCCGCCCTCCACGAGAGGGAGCCGCCCTCTACGAGAGGGAGCCGGATGTAGGCATTGCCACGCCGTGGATGTAGGACTTGCCACGCCGTGGAGATGCAGGACTTGCCACGCTTTCGATTTTTTTTTTTTTTAACAAAAAAAAACGGGTTACACTGAATATGGTAATGAGGATTCGCGCTCTCGGCAGCTTAACTGTCTCCCTGGATAGACCCCCCACACATGTATTTGCAAGGTGGAGTTCTGGCAGAAAGCCGCATTAGGCTGGCAAGGCTAGCGCAATCCGCCCTGGAACTCTGCCAAGACTGTGGGCTACGGCTATGCTACGCATACCCATCTAGCCTGCGGTCCGTTGTTTCGGCTGGCCCGGCTCAACTAATAAGGCTGGAGTTCTGGTGGCAAGCAGCACTAGGTAGGCAAGACTAGCGCCGTCCGCACTGGAACTCTGTTAGGACTGTGGGCTACGGCTATGCTGCGCATACCCATCTAGCCTGCGGTCCGTTGTTTCGGCTTGCCCGACTCAACACATAAGCCTTGAGTTCTGGTAGGACGCCGCACTAGGTAGGCAAGAAATTGGGAACTCTGTTAGGGCCCCAGGCGAAGCCCCTTGAATTTGCGTCACTCTAAAAGTTTTTAGAGTCATTTTCCAGTCGTCAGAGGGAAGGCGAAGGTGTTTGGGGATAAGGTTACCCCGGTCAGGGTGTTGGTTCCTGGGGGCCACACCTCCGTCCTTGCGGGTTTCAGGGCTTAGGGGGCGGGGATATCCTTTTAAGCTCGGCACCCCTTGTCCCGGCCTGCCCAGCTCAGGGGTAATAGCCGGATCCCCTGCAGGGCAGGCTCGCCCCTCAACCACGGGGTGGGGTCTTCCGGCATACCCAGCCATCTCGGGTCGAGGAGCACAACCTGTCATATCATGACAGGCGTCCTTACGTCCGTTGCAGCGCGGCTGTATAGGCTGGCGCTTTTCGCATTGGAACTCTGCCAGGACTGTGGGCTACGGCTATGCTTCGCATACCCATCTAGCCTGCGGTCCGTTGTTTCGGCTGGTCCGGCTCAACAAACAAGGCTGGAGTTCTGGCAGAAAGCCGCACTAGGCAGGTAAGGCTAGCGCCGTCGGCACTGGAACTCTGCCAGGACTGTGGGCTACGGCTATGCTACGCATACCCATCTAGCCTGCGGTCCGTTGTTTCGGCTGGCCCGACTCAACAAGTAAAGCTGGAGTTCTGGTGGCCAGCAGTACTAGGTAGGCAAGACTAGCGCCGTCCGCACTGGAACTCTGTTAGGACTGAGGGCTACGGCTATGCTGCGCATACCCATCTAGCCTGCGGTCCGTTGTTTCGGCTTGCCCGACTCAGCACATAAGCTTTGAGTTCTGGTAGCACGCCGCACTAGGTAGGCAAGATATTGCCAACACTAGGGGTATCCGTGTAGGCTGGGTCCAGATTGCTAAGGCGTAGCCACCAACGAAGCGCTCCCGTCCCCACATCCCTTCTCTAACCCAAGCCAGTCCCAACCCTTCCGCCCAGCTGCCCAGAGGCCGGACACCATCCTGCCTCCTCGCTCTCCCCCGCCTCGTCTGCCCCCCCTGCCCTCCCCCCCTTGCGCTCTCCTCTCTACCTCCTCCTCCCCCGTCCCAGGGCTGGTAGCCCAAGCTTGCTTTCGATGTGGGGCTGCTAGCCAGGGTGGGACCTCGCCAGCATCCCCCATAAACAGGCTGCGAGTTGGGGTCTCCCCAAGCAATGGGTGTCCCCCATTGGCAGTCCCACATGCGGCCAACGGCCCCGAGGGACTGTTCAATGGCGGCCCGCTCGCAGACCTGGCAGTTTGGTCAGTGATCCTCCTCCTCCTCCTCCTCCTCCTCCTCCTCCTCCTCCTCCTCCTCCTCCTCCTCCTCCTCCTCCTCCCCCCCCTCGAGCCCTGCCTCCAGGGCCACGGCCAGCGGCCCGAGCTGCGCCTCGATGGCCTGCGCGGGGCTCAGGTCCCTGGACAGGTCGCGGCCGTCCTCCTCCTGGGGGCCTGCAGGCCAGGGCGGGGGGGGGGGGCGAGCTTCCAGGTTCGCGGAGGAACAGCAGGAGAAGGAGAAGGAGGAGGAGCAGGGGCAGGGGCAGCAGGAGGAGGAGGAAGAGGAGGGAGAAGAGGGAGAGGAGGCGGAGGAGGAGGAACGAGGAGGAGGTCGAGGTTCGAGGAGCGAGGATCGAGCTTGCTCCATGTGCTCGGATCATTCACGCCCCCCGGAAAAAAGCTTCCCGCCGCCACGGCCGGAGCCCCCTTCGAGATCTCGGCCGGACTGGGCCCCCGGGAGATGTCCGAGGGCCGACCGTCGAGGCAGGAGGGCCCGAAGAGGTGGCGGATTGATTGATTCGACCCTGGCGTCCTCCCTTGAAGGAGCCCAAGGACACACACACACACACACACACACATCAATCGACACAAATCCCAGGATGTCCCGTATGTTCCTGCATTGTCTGGGTTTTCGTCTCCCCCCCGCTTCCCATCTTTTCCCATATGTTCATAGGAATCGACGACTACTTATTGTGTCTGTGTGTGCTCTTTCTCCTCATGATCCCTCTACTTCGGCCACCGAGGGCCTTATCTCGCGCCCCTGGAGACATCAGAACGAAGATCCGAGACGAGCAGGCTGCTCCAGGCACTCGATCGGCTTTCGGGGGAACTCCTGGTGGGGCCACGAGTTGGCGCGGCTTGAAAAACAGCTCTGGGTGGCGTCTAGGAGGGCCCAAGGACGGGATTTGGGGCCTTCTTCTGGGCGGGGGGGGTAACGGGCAGGAGCTGAGCAGGCTGGTGAGGCCCAGTGTTGGAGGCCTCCTGAGCTATGCGCGGCGTCCACGGCCACGGGAAGTCCGAAAACCAATCGAACCAGCAGCGAAACTGAGACGGACTTGGACTGACAATCCGAATGCAGGCCAGTAGGATGCGGAGAAGCATCATCCGACCAAACCGAAACGACAAACCGTAGCCGACTGCGACGGAGCCAACAAGCCGAGTCGCGGACATTACTTCAGATTGGGCCCACAAGGACATCCGACGTGGTGATGTTTCAAGACGCGACTCCGACAGGTCTGGACAGGACACCTTCCAGGGGATCGATGATTCATCCCGGGCCGTTGTCTGAACGTGCCAGGGTTTCGGTAAGGACCCCCCATAGGCTGAACAACAGAACTCGTTGTTCCAATGTGCGAGGAGAACAGGGCCTTCGCTCCAGCCCCTCATCAGAAACTGCGCTGATCAAGGAAGGGAAACGGGAAGGGGAATGTGGATCCTGCAGACTTCCTCGCGTGCGACCAAAAAAACACGACGGATGGATTTCGCTAGTTTTCGGCCCCCAGGTGCCATCAACGGGCGCAGAGACCGTCAACAAAAAACTCGGGACGAGAAGCCAATGTTGGGAAAGGGGTCCCGACCTCTGGCGAGCCACGCTGTCAAAGAACACGACGGCAAGAGGCTGGGATCAAAGGGAACTGGAGGGGGCGGAGGAGGGGCGGGATGAAAAGGAGTGAGGGAGAGCGGAAGACGAAGCAAAAGGGAGAAGCTGAGGTGGGGGTGGGACGGGGAAGGGGAAAAAGGAAAGAGAGTGAGAAAAGCTGAGGAGGATGAGCAGCGAAAGGATGACGAGGATGAGAGGGACGGGCAGGGAAGTTGCAAGGAGAGGGAGGATGAGAAAGAGGAGGAAGAAGGAGTATGCACGAAGAAGTTGGAGATGGGATGGAGGTAGAAATAGAGAGAATGTTGGTGAGGATGAGGGGGCAGAGAAGGCGGCAGGAGGGATTCGGAAGAGGAGCAAGAGGAATATGATAACGAACAGGACAACATTTGAAACAAACAACATAGCCCAGGATAATACCTCGAAGTCAACTAACGATACTATGTGATCAACCTGACAGCCGAGTGTCTGAACCGAGGCCGTTCATCAGTTCGCATAATGAAGAGACATACCTGGCTGTTAGAATAATGCTGACCGACGCGAACGCATGCAGTCTGATGCGAAGCAAGACGGCAAAGCGTGCTCGGTGCGCAACATCTCCAGTGCACTCTACGCTGGAACACCCAGACCAGCCCCAGCACAGTGCTCCTGCCGAGCGAGAGGTCGGATGGTCGCAAGGCCGCTGCGGAAAGAGAAGAAAGAGGCAAGCCCGCACATGGCACAAAGAAACACTGACCTCCTCACGTCTCGAAAAATTCAGTACGGGAGGTGCTTGACCAATTACAACCTCTGCAGGCAAGATCAGTCAGCATCGAATCAGAAATCCGGATAAATTCGAGAAATGCATCGGGTCGGCCTGCATCGGCACCGAATCGCAATCGAATCGGATCGGTTGCACCAGGATGCTCAACAGCGCCATGCAAAGATCGTGTCGCATCGGGTCGTCGACTATCGGAGCCGAATCGGATCGGGCCAGCCAGAATCGATATCGAATCAGATCGATCGGATCGAAATGGACCCTCCTGGGAGGCCCTGACTGGGCGCCAGGACCGTCAAAGCACTCCTGAGTATGAGAAGCTGGTCACCCGAAAAGGGGTTCAGACCTCTGGGGAGCCACGTGCTGAAACATCACAGCGTCGAACATCTGGGGGCCAGGATCTCCGACCCCGTGCTATTTTCGCAGCGTGGACCCCCCGAAGCCTGGATCCCTCCCCCCGGACACCGAGCTGAACCGTTAGCTGACGGTGCCCTGCGTCCGGCGAGGCGCCAGGGAGGCCGAGAACGGCAAACGACACCTTTCGCCAGTGATTTTCCCGACACAGGGGAAGTCAGAGGAGGAGTGAGGAGGAGTGAGGAGTGAAGAGGGCAGCCGCGGCAGCAGACACAGGAGCAGGAGGGCGCAGGGAGCAAGAGGGAGAGGGGTGGAGTGTTCTTCCCGACACGGGGGAAGTCCGAGCAGGCGCAGGAGGGCGGAGAGGGAAGAAACGAGGGAGGATGCGGTGGAGCAGGCGGGGAGGTTGGCGGGCGGAGGGCGGCGGGGGACGACGTGGGGGGAGGAGCCCTGGGGCTACCCGAGGGTCATCGTCGGCAGGCCCCCCCTCGCCGCACGCCTGGCGGCCCCCGGTCCTCGGTCGAGCACCGGCTGTCCACCGCGGCGGCGGGCCGGCGGTGGCGGGCCGCGGCGCCCGAGGGCGGCCGGCTGCCTCGCGGCGGGTCGCAGGCTGACCAGCAGCTTTCAGCGCCCCTCAAACGGGGACTCCACAAACGGGTACTTTGGCCAGTGACCCAGCGAACCCAACCCTTCCCGATGTGGGCAAAGCTGCAATGCAAGAAAAAGGCCCCGAAGTAGCAACTTTCGGCAAAAATTCAAAGTACCCGTTAGTAAGTACCCGTTACGGTGCCGTTGAAGCTTGATGCACAAGAACATCCCGGGAGTAAAGAAGCACCGGCAACTCTTGGGTGGGCCCCCCCGAAAGGCCGAAGGGCGCACATTGTGTGAAAGCCCCGACGCGCACCCTGGAAGGACCGAGGGGGCAAACATCGTGTGAGCGCACTGGCGCGGTCAGGGTCGTGGTCCCGGAGAGCCCCACATATGCATCTCAGTTCCTGGCACTTCCGGCTGTGACTTCCAACGAACGAAGGTGGCATCAATGTTTGCTACGAAGCTTGCGTCGAGTTGCCGCCACTGTGCGCCGAAAATATTGCCATGGTTTCGCACGGTTTTGAAAACCCACGAGCCGAATAGCGTACGGCTTCTCGCTCGCTCGCTCGCTCGCGCTGTGATTGACTAGTTGTGAAAGAGTCTTCGCAGAGGAGCTCTGAAAGCAGAGGAGTCGCCGACGCCAAACGGGCGCCTCGCCCGAGACATCTCCACGACCTGACCTCGAACGGGCGAGTGTCCTAACCCTCTGGCGGCTCCCCTCATGGAAGCGGTGAGTCTGAGTGCAATTGAGTCCGAGTGCGAGGGAGTATGAGTACGAGTGGGTCTGTGTAAGTACTCCTGAGCGCTGGTGATCCTGAGCTTGAGTGAGTCTGATTATAACTGGTCCGCGTCTGTGGTCGATGCAACTGAATATGAGTGTGAATGAGTGTAAGGATGACCCTGAGTGCGAGAGAATACGAGTGCGATTTCTGTGTATAAGTGAGTCTGAGTGTGAACGAGTCCACGTATAAGTGAGTCTCAATGAGTAAGGGGGGAGCAGGAGTTGAGTCTCTTTGAGCAGGGTCCCTGCTCAAAGAGACTCAACTATCCCTACTGCCTCCTCCCTATCCCGGATAGGGAGGAGGCAGTAAAGGAGAAAAGAGACAGAGGCAACACACGATTACTCACTGCGTGGAGCTCTCCATATGTGCATCTCATGTTTTATGTCATGCCGTGGCGAGCGTCTGTTCATGAGCGGTCGACTACAATAGCGCGTCCACGTGGGCGACAGGGCCGACGAAGACGAGTGACCCCTAATGCGAATGATTGCGTATGAGTCAGAGTGAGCTTTGAGTATGGCTGAATGCGAGCCTCTTTCTATTCATCCCCCCTCCTCAGCTGCCAGGCCTTCCTCACAATCTGCTCTCCAAGCGAAGGATGTCGAGCCCAGAAACAAGCAAACCGCCTGAGACATCCCCACACAATGGCCGCGAACGAGCCCGTGCAAACACCCCTGGCGGCTCCCCTTAGGGGTGCTGAAACCAGCGCCCCGCCTGAGACATCCTCACAATCTGCTCTCCAAGCGAAGGATGTTGAGCCCAGAAACAAGCAAACCGCCTGAGACATCCCCACAAAATGGCCGCGAACGAGCCCGTGCAAACACCCCTGGCGGCTCCCCTTAGGGGTGCTGAAACCAGCGCCCCGCCTGAGACATCCTCACAATCTGCTCTCCAAGCGAAGGATGTTGAGCCCAGAAACAAGCAAACCGCCTGAGACATCCCCACAAAATGGCCGCGAACGAGCCCGTGCAACCACCCCTGGCGGCTCCCCTTAGGGTTGCTGAAACCAGCGCCCCGCCTGAGACATCCTCACAATCTGCTCTCCAAGCGAAGGATGTTGAGCCCAGAAACAAGCAAACCGCCTGAGACATCCCCACAAAATGGCCGCGAACGAGCCCGTGCAAACACCCCTGGCGGCTCCCCTTAGGGGTGCTGAAACCAGCGCCCCGCCTGAGACATCCTCACAATCTGCTCTCCAAGCGAAGGATGTTGAGCCCAGAAACAAGCAAACCGCCTGAGACATCCCCACAAAATGGCCGCGAACGAGCCCGTGCAAACACCCCTGGCGGCTCCCCTTAGGGGTGCTGAAACCAGCGCCCCGCCTGAGACATCCTCACAATCTGCTCTCCAAGCGAAGGATGTTGGGCCCAGAAACAAGCAAACCGCCTGAGACATCCCCACAAATGGCCGCGAACGAGCCCGTGCAACCACCCCTGGCGGCTCCCCTTAGGGGTGCTGAAACCAGCGCCCCGCCTGAGACATCCTCACAATCTGCTCTCCAAGCGAAGGATGTTGAGCCCAGAAACAAGCAAACCGCCTGAGACATCCCCACACAATGGCCGCGAACGAGCCCGTGCAAACACCCCTGGCGGCTCCCCTTAGGGGTGCTGAAACCAGCGCCCCGCTTGAGACATCCTCCAAATCTGATGTGTGTTGAGTAAGTCTGAGTATGAGTAGGTCTGAGTATGAGTATGCCTGAGTGTGAGTAAGTCTGTGTATGAGTAAGTCTGTGTATGAGTAAGTCTGGGTATGAGTAGGTCTGTGTATGAGAAAGTCTGTGTATGTGTACGTCTGGGTATGAGTAAGTCTGAGCATCACTAATACTGTGTAGGAGTAAGTCTGGGTATGAGTGAGTCTGTGTATGAGTACGTCTGGGTGTGAGTAAGTCTGTGTATGAGTAAGTCTGTGTATGAGTATGTCTGAGTGTGAGTAAGTCTGAGTATGAGTAGGTCTGAGTATGAATAAGTCTGAGTATTCTGAGTATGAGTAAGTCTGTGTATGAGTAAGTCTGAGTATGAGCAAATCTGAGTATGAGTAAGTCCGACAGGAGGGGAGGAGGAAAGAGGAGGAGGGAGAAGGAGAGGGAGTAGGAGGCGTCCAAGTAATAACAAGAACCCCATCTTAGGATATGGGGAAATAGCAAAAACACCAGAGTTCCGCAGGATATATGGCAACACCCTGAATAAACATACTTAGCGTGTCGGCGGTCAACGCTGATTTCTTGGGCCCGCGCTGGGACCCATCCTCCCATGAGCGCGCAGCGCGCCAGCGGCAGCGCCAGAGGCGCCTCCAGGGAGGGAGTGGTCTGGTGCCGATCTCCTACCGCATAATTCTGCAACGGCCCCAGGGGTCTGACACTGGATTTATGTTGCTCCCATCGTACTGAAGGACCACATCCCAGAAATAATTCCGAGCAGCCAGAAGAAATATCGAAACAGTGTCGAGCGAGTATCGCCTCCCAGGACCCGACACGTGAAAACCCTTCAGCTTCTGTACTTTCTTGGTGGTCGAAATTCTCCAAATAGGCTTGCCCTATAGGAGTTCCAACTCATTCTCTACTAATTGGTCCGTTCCCCCCCTAATCCCGATGCCCCCCTAATTCCTATGGCTATACCTATGCCTTTGCCTCCCCCAATTTCCTATGCCTACGCCTATGCCTACTTGCTTGCTTGATTGCTTGCTTGGTTGCTTGGTTGCTTGCGCGCTTGCACGCTTGTTTGCTTGCTTGCGCGCATGTTCACACGCTCGCTTGCTTGCTGAGTTGCGGACTCCAGGTATGTTCGATTGCTCTGATTCCTTGAATTGAATCGTCTAATATACTTGGAGTCAGCGCTGGCTGCTATTCTTGCTCGTGATCATGGCTGAAGTAGGTCGGAACATCATAACACTGGATGCAACACATGGAACACAACTCCGCCTTGCTCGTTCAATGCGCTGGATGTCTGGGAAGACAGGGCCTTTCAGCTCGATCCCCAGACGTCTGCAAGCGTGCGACCTGGCTGAAATTGCGAGGGGGATGCAGCCTTGGTGACGAAGAGCCCCCCAGAGGCCCCCAACAACGCCCTCCAACCTCCAACCTGGAGGCTCGATCCTCGAGCCTGGCCTTCGGGCCATAGCTCTGGTCTCTGGCGGCCGTTCGGAAAGATTAGGGCACCCCGCACGCCCTCGGCGAGGCGCAGCTTGCAAGAGAGCACTGCGAAGCTGGAAAGCGCCCAAGAACTTTTGTAAGTCAGCGGGGAAGAGTGGAGGCGAGCCCTCCCCCCGCGTCACGCTGCGCCGCGCCTTCTTATCTGGCCGCGGTCGGTCCGCAAGACCGCGGGGCATCGGCTCAGCTGGGCAGGCCGGGTGCGAGGGCGCTGGCGACCGTCTCCCAGGCCAGGGCGCTGTTGAGCAGCCGGCCGCCGGGCAAGACCGCGTCGACCCCACCAGGGGTCCGGGGGCCCAGCCTGCCCGCCCGATGTTCCGCCGCCAGCTGGCCGTAGACGTCCGTCAGGGAGCGGAGGGACCGGCCCCGACCCTGCAGCGCTCGGCCCCACCGAGGGTCAGGAAGCGCATCGAGTCGCCGTTGGGGGATGCCTGCAGGAGCAGCGCTGGAAGCAGATGCGCCGGGTAGGTCAAGCCCTCCACCAGCGCCGGGAGGTCGCACCGACCTCCATCGTTCTTGCCGCAAGCCACGGTGCTGCCGTCGCTCCTGAGCAGGGCCGTGTGGCGTCTTCCAGCCGCAACCTGCGTGTAGGTCAGGCCCCCCACCAGCGCCGGGAGGTCGCACTGACTGTCATCGTTCTCGCCGCAGGCCACGGCGCTGCCGTCGCTCCCCAGCAGGGTCGTGTGGAGTCGTCCAACCGCAACCTGCGTGTAGGTCAGGCCCCACACCAGCGCTGGGAGGTCGCACTGACCGTCACGATTCAAGCCGAAGGCCACGGCGCTGCCGTCGCTCCTGAGCAGGACCGAAGCGCCAACCAGCCGCAACCTGCGTGTAGGTCAGGCCCTCCACCAGCGCCGGGAGGTCGCACTGACCGAGAACATTCCAGCCGCAGGCCACGGCGCTGCCGTCGCTCCTGAGCAGGACCGAGTGGCGCCAACCAGCCGCAACCTGCGTGTAGGTCAGTCCCTCCACCAGCGCCGGGAGGTCGCACTGACCGAGAACATTCCAGCCGCAGGCCACGGCGCTGCCGTCGCTCCTGAGCAGGACCGAGTGGCGCCAACTTGCCGCAATCTGCGTATAAATCAGGCCCCCCACCAGCGCCGGGAGGTCGCACTGACCGTCATCGTTCAAGCCGCAAGCAACGGCGCTGCCGTCGCTCCCGAGCAGGGCCGTGTGGCGTCTTCCAGCCGCAACCTGCGTGTAGGTCAGACCCCACACCAGCGCTGGGAGGTCGCACTGACCGTCATCATTCAGGCCGCAGGCCACGGCGCTGCCGTCGCTCCTGAGCAGGGCCGTGTGGGCGCCAACCAGCCGCAACCTGCGTGTAGGTCAGGCCCTCCACCAGCGCCGGGAGGTCGCACTGACCGAGAACAGTCCAGCCGCAGGCCACGGCGCTGCCGTCGCTCCTGAGCAGGGCCGTGTGGGCGCCTCCAGCGGCTAACATTTGCCAGAGGGTGGGCGGGGGCAGCACGAGGTCAAGACGAGGCGCAGGGGCTCGGCGCGCGGGGGGCGCGGCTCGAGCCAGGACTCGTCCACGGCGCGGCGAGGTGGCGGGAAGGCGAGGCCTGCTCGCTCGTGTGCGTCCCCCCCAACGAGAGCCCCTTCCAGAACTCGGTCGCAGGGCCCAGGCGCTTTTCACCCAGAGGGGGCGACGGACGGTTCAACCAAGAGGGGGCGACCACCCAGTCTGGTCGACGTTTCACCCAAAACGGGAGAGCGACGTTCACCCGAAAACGGATCCCTGGATGGACGGTTTCCCCTGGGGCCAAAAGCGACCCGAGGAGGGGGGGGGCGAGGAGGAGGAGGAGACAGGAGGAGAACGGGTCGCCTAAGCCCTTCTGAGAAACCCTCCACCCCTGGATCCTCCGCGCCCAGCCGTGGCGGTGAGAGCCTCCCAGAAGCGCCCTCATAAACGACGGCCGTCGTCGAGGGATGCTGCCCACCTCCGCACGCCCGCGAGCCGAAGCACGTGCGGGCGCCGGTCGGGCCAGGGCGGGACGCGCGGGAAGCCAACTGGGACGAAAGGGAAGGCGGGGGGAGCTCGAGGGAAGAAAGAAACAAAGCCGTTCAGATCGCACAGACAGACAAAGCCGTACAACAACTGCGTGAACAACAACTGTTGGAGCTCTGCGCGGGTTTCTTGGATCGGCGCTGGACCACCCGCGCCGGAGGCGCCGCCAGGGCAGCCCAGAGCCGATCCTGGAAACCCGCGTGGAGCCCCGCGAGTTTATGCTCATGTCGTTGCTCGTTCTACGAAGATCGTCGCGGGCGCGCCGACGAAGAGCCCGAGGCCGAAAACCTCCGCCCTGAGCTCCCCAGGGCGCCCATGGACAGACGGGGTCCGGGCGGAGCCCCGGAGGCCCCGAGGGGCGCGGGGCCTCCTCTCGGGGCGCGCCGCCTCGCCCTCTTCTTCCCGACTCCTCCTCGCCCTCCTCGCCCGTTGTCTCATCCTTGCCTTCCACCCCCCCTTCTCCCTCCGCCTCCCCTGATCATCCCTCCCCCCCTCCCTCTCCTCCCCCTCCTCCTCCCACTCCCTCCTCCTCCTCCTCCTCCTCCTCCTCCTCCTCCTCCCCTCCTCCTCCTCCTCCTCCTCCTCCTCCTCCTCCTCCCTCCTCCTCCTCCTCCTGGTCCTCCTCCTCCTCCTCCTCTCCTCCTCCTGGTCCTCCTCCTCCTGGTCCTCCTCCTCCTGGTCCTCCTCCTCCTCCTCCTCCTCCTGCTCCTCCTCCTCCTCCTCCTCCTCCATCCCACTCCCTCAACCTGCAGCCCCGCTCCTCCTCCGCCTCCATTTCCTCCTCCTGGTCCTCCTCCTCCTGGTCCTCCTCCTCCTCCTCCTCGTCCTCGTCCTCCTCCTCCTCCTCATCATCATCCTCATCCTCATCGTCATCCTCATCCTCCCTCCTCCTCTCCTCCTCCTCCTCCTCGTCCTCCTCCTCCTCCTCCTCCTCATCATCAATCATCATCATCATCAGCATCATCATCATCAGCATCATCATCATCAGCAGCATCAGCATCAGCATCATCATCATCCTCATCTTCATCCTCATCCTCACCCTCATCCTCATCCTCATCATCATCCTCATCCTCATCCTCCTCCTCATCCTCATCCTTCTTCATCCTCATCCTCATCATTATCATCACATCATCATCAGCATCAGCATCAGCATCAGCATCATCATCAGCATCAGCATCACAGCATCAGCATCATCATCATCATCATCATCATCATCATCATCATCATCATCATCATCATCATCATCATCATCATCATCATCATCATCATCATCAGCATCATCACCATCCTGCTCCTGCGCTTCCTCCTCCTCCTCCTCCGTCTCCTCTTCCTCCTGCTCCTGCTCCTCCTCCTCCGCTTCCTGTTCCTTTTGCTTCTCCTGCTCCTCCTCCTCCTCCTCCTGCTCCTCGTCCTCCTCCCTTTTACGCAAGACGAACCTAAGGTTTCCCTGTGGCATTCTTTCCTCCTCCTGCTCCTGATCATCGCCTTCCTCCCTCCTCGTTCCTCCGCCTCCCCCTGCTCCCTGCGGCTTCCAGGGGGTGTTAGCTGCTAGCAGGGCCTGCGAGCACCCTTGCTCCAGTGTGGGATGCGCTTGCCAAGCCTGTGCCCACACAGACCTACGCAGTCCTCCCTCCTCGCCCTCCTCCTTGTTCCGCCAAGCCGCCTCCCTCCGCCTCCTCGCCCTCTGCCACTCTCGTTTTTTCCGTTCAGATTCCCTTCTCCCTTCCCCGCCATACTTTTCTCTCTCAATATCTCTATGTGAATTGTATTGTTGGTCCTCTCTGACTCTCTCTGTCTCTCTCTCTCTTGTTTTTTCTCTCTCTCTCTCTTTCTCTCTCTCTCTCTATATATATATATATCACTCTCCCTCTCTTTCTCTTTCTCTCTCTCTTCCTCCCTCTCTGCCTCCCCCCTCCCTTACTGCCTGCCTTCATCCCGCCCTCCCTCCCTCACATCCCTCTCTGTGTGCTGCATTATCTCTCTATGTTTATTTTCCTCTCTCTCTCTCTCTCTCTCTGTTTATGTGTCTCTTTCTCTCTCTCTCTCTCTCCCCTTCTGTGTTATGTGTGTTTTCTTTCTCTGTCCTTGTCTCTCTCTCTCTCTCTCGCCCTCATTCCTTACGTCTTCCCTCTAACCGTAATCGAATGCCAGGAGTGACGACGACGGGAACTACTAACTATTCACGAGATCTCTCCCGTGGTTGTGGTCGTGCGGGGGCGCCTGTCAGCCTGGTGGGCAAACGACAGTGCTCCGGACCGCCCGTGTAAAAAATCCTCCTGGCACGGCGGCCCCCGCAAGTACCTTGACTCGGCGGTGGACATGCCTCCCTTTAGTAAACCACCCTTTCGTGAAAACGGCCTGAGGCCGAAACCGACGGACCTGAACCCGCAAAAATGACAGCCGCGACGCCCTCCCGCGAACCGAAAACGGCCAATTCGCTGATCGACGTGTCAGGGTAGGAGGCCCCTCGACATCCGACTGACAGGCCCTGGAGGAGGAGGAGGGAAGGAGGAGGTGGAGGAGGACAAGACAGGACAGGACATCCGAATAAGGGGGTCAACGTCGACACGACAACAAAGGAACTGCGGTTACGACTAGCAAAAACCCCTGCTAATGGAGTACGCCGCATACCCAGACTTCTCATGGGGCCGACAGGGCATTCCCCGAAGCTCCGAGGGGCGAGCTCCGAGGTGGCCTCATAAAATAGGCTCGCTACCTTGTGAGTACGAGTCCCTACGGGTCACAGCCCAGGGATCAGCAGTTGGCCCTGTCGCGGGCCCATTCCGACGGGGACGCGCTGGGCGAGCAGGGCCCCCAAGCAGGGGGGATGACGACGACGCGACCTCACTCGACGCGGGGAAGAGAAGAGAGAACGCAGGAGGATGCCCCGCCGGGGGGCATATGATTAAAAATACCTACATCCTGCTGCGCCCATTCTTCAAGAGCAGTCCCTCCCTCTCTAGGCTCACTTCGCTTTCTGGCCGTGCTGATCGACGGCTGAACCGTGCAATGGTGTGTCTGACACAGTCCTGTGCTGCAGCAATCTGTATCAACAAATCTCTGTAGCACTCCGAGTGCCCCTCTGAAGTACCCCTCCAATCGGCGCGTAAGTAGGGGCGAATAAACCGATTGTTGTCACGGCGTGCGAGAGCCTTTCCAAATCTGCGACGCTTATCACGCACCACTGGCTCGCACGCCGAGATGCCCCCGCTACCGACGGCCCCTCTGAGCGAATCTGCCGCTGTGCCGCCCTGCCTGCATGGGACCGCACTCCGAGATGTCCCCGCTAGTGCTCCTCCTGACCGTGCATGCGGGCGCCCTCGCGCGCGGCCGCTGGAGCGGGCCGCCTCACATGACCCAACGTACATCTCGAAGATTTCGGTGCCGTTCAGCGGGGTGTCCGTGCTGTCGCGGACTCGGCCTCGTGCTGCTCGAGCTGCGCGACTGTCTTCAGCTCCCTCGTGGCTATCTCCATGACGCTCTGTAGGTTCTCCGCGCTGTTCTTCGCGATCCGCAACGCAAGCTCGCACCAGCTGCGCGTCGTGAAATACTTCCTTCCTGCTGCTTGCCACGCGTCCACCGGGTTATTTTTGAAGCAGCGCGCAGCCCTTCACTTGGTGCGTTATCGGGAAGGCTGGTGGGGTCACCTCGTAAATTCCTCTGGACTCTGCTTCTGGGCCGCCTCGTAGGACTTGTAGCGATTCCCTTGTGACGGCGTCGTCGAGCGCCCGCGGCGGCCTCTCAGCTGCGAGCGCCTCCCACTTCTCGCCTACAATGAGCTCCACCACCATTGATGGCCCATTACGGTGCGGGTGGAACCTCGACTTGCAGCCGATCTCGGGCCACTTCTCGTAGTCCTCGTTGAAGCCCTTCTTCATCTTGTCCACCCATTCTTTCATGAGCTCGTTCTCGGGGGGGCGCTCCTGTGCCGTCACAAGCGCCTTCCAATCAACTTTGCACCAAAACTTCCACTGCGCTCCCCTCGAGGTACCGCTGGGGCCTCTCCACCACAGCTTGTTGGGCAAGGCTAGCCCGCACGAGCAGGCGCAGCCCTTCTTCGTGTCCCAGCCTGTGTTCCTCCTGCACACGTTGTACAGCTGCACGTTGTCGCTCCACTTGCCCACGAAGCCGAGCGCCTTAAGGTACTGCGTCTGCTTAACACCCTTGTTCTTGCACGTCTTGTAGTCACCGAGTCCATGCAGCTCCTTCTCCTTCTCTTCCAGCTCTTGCTTGGCCGTCTAGACAGGGAGCTCTGCGAAGTTGTCATACCCTGGCGAAGCAGCCAGGCGACGCTCCGGCGCCACGCGCAAGACCAGGCTGAAACGAGTGCCCCCAGAGCTCGATTCCGATTCCGATTCCTCTCCCTCTCCTTCTCCCTCTTTTTCGGTGTATATGTATTGTATGTGTGTATGCACACCTCTCTACCTCACTGTACCTCTATCTCTCCCTCACTCTCTCTCTTCTCTTCCCTCCCGGCCCTCTCTGCATTCTCCCCTCCCTTTTGCTTTCCCCACAACTGCACAATCTGAATACTACTCTCCTCTCCCCTGACTCTGTCCGGAAAAAGTCCCGTCCTCTCCGCGTGTTTTTCACACACACACATGGTTGCATTAGGTTTGTTCAATGCTGCTTGAATATGGTCGTTTCGGGTTCTTCCATGACTGGTGCTCCCGCTGCAGCGCCGTCCTCATTTCCGCGCTTCGGTCAGTCAAGATCGTGCTCCCGCTGCAACGCTGGCCTCGTTCCCGCGCCTACGGACAGCACTTGGCATTCGAAAGCGCCCACATCGGGCAGGCACGGTTGCGGAGGACATGGTGCCGGCATTCCGGACAGGCCCTGCCCTCTCGTAGACGGGCCACTTACCCTCCAAGTCATCCGGTTATCATGCAACGGCACGCAATGCGATGCTGCGTTGTGCACCGCTGTGCGATGCCATTATTTGCGTTGCTATGCTTTGTGATGGAATGCTTCACTACGCAATGCCACGCCATGTTATGACATGCTAGGCTCTGCCGTGTTGTATTATTCTTCGCCATGTTCTTGCCATCAATCGCGTACCCTCTTGGAATGATTGCCCTGCGCAACATCCGACTGTGCGAATAGATAGGGGATCTACGCCATGGTAAGGGATGCGAGGGAAGGGTAAAACGTTAGATGTGACGCTTGCGCACATAGCTTGTCTCTCTTCCCCTCCCTCCTCACCGAAGCCTCACGGGGATTCGAACGCCTACCTCGCTTCTAGAGGCCACGCAGAACGCTAGTCGTGCCAGACACTCGGCTGCCCGAGCTGCTAGAAAAAGTCAGTGATCCCGCCAGGTTGCAAGACATGCAAAGCTCACACCTGACCTGTCTCGCAGTAATGACTAGTGCTGGGTCACTCCAGTGCGCAGCACGTCTCCCATTAGAAGGCCCACCGCAGTGCGTGTACTGCAATCTCCGATCATGGGACGGTATGTGGAGAAGACGCCGTCACTGCCACACTGAGAAGGGATTCGTATGCAGGCCGTGTTGGACCCAGTACGCAGCACCAGCAGGGGAACAGGCTGGCTAGGCATACTGGCTGCCCGTCGCTCCCTGGCCTTCCGAGCTGTATGTCCGGAGCCGCAGCCTCACCAGTGCAATGCGGCCCCCAAGTACTGACGCAACCAATTTCGTTGTTTGCATGTGCGTGCTTGCACATTCGCTCGCATTGGTCGGGCGAGAACGTAAATAGGGTTGATCTCTGTATCTGCCTTCGGGCTTCAGGGCATCGAAGTGCCGCGTTTCTGCCGTGGGTCGCCCCCCCTGGCCTGCTCCTTTGCGCCCTCCCCCGTGCCCCCCCCCCAAAGGGTGGGGTGTCTGAGACGGTTCCTGGTGCAACCACACACACACACTATTGTTCTCCGTCGGCGGCGAGGCGGGACAATCCGCTCCAGCGTGGCAGCGACGCAGGGGCCCTACAAAGCGAACTGGCCGGCATGCAGGAGGAGGCGAAGAGAAAAGGCAGCCAGGGGGGGAGGGGAGAAGGGCGAGCACTCAGAGGCGGAAGACTTCCTCGCGCGCCAGTTTTGTCCTGTGCTCTCTCGTGAGCAAGGACATGCTGTCACGTCACGCTACTTTCAGGACCTCTTCGCGCTCCGGTGCCCAGACCTGCATATCCGTTCGGGGCACCCTCCAGGGCCGTGCTCACGCTCCGTGGAGACTCCCCCCCCCGCCTCGTCGCCTTCCCAGCTTCGAGTCATGAGCACGCGTCGACCGCAATGCCACCGTCCACCACCCCCCCCCCCTCACCGAAAAAGGAGCAAACGATTACATAAACATACAAACTCGGAGGTCCGCGCGGATTCCTCGGATCGGCGCTGGACCCGCGCGGGCCGCGCCAAGGGCGGCGCCACCGCCTTCCACAACAAAACCATCGAAACCCCAAAACAAACCCAGGGCACCCTGGAGGCAAGCAGCGTGTTTCTTGGCATGGACCCCCACTGGTTTGTCACTGCTTGCTCCCAGGAACCCCCCTCACCGAGGCCCTGGCTTCCCCCCGGGGGGGGGGGGCGCGGGCCTCCTCTCGAGCCGTGGGGTCGCCCGGGGCCGCCGCCGCCGCTGGAGAGCTCCTCGAGCCCAGCGGCGAGGATGCCTGCGCTCTGCTGGTGCTCCACCTTGGCCTCGGCGGGACCGCTGTGCTCGTCGCCCCCCTCCTCGTCCTCCTGCTCGTCCTTCTCTGTGTCCTCCAGCTAGTCCATATCGTCCTCCACCTCCTCTACCTCCTCCTCCTCCTCCTCCTCCTGCTCTTCCTTCTCCGCCTCCGTTTCCTCCACCTAGTCCGTCACCTCCTCCTTGTATTCCTCCTCGTCTTTCTCCTCGTCTTCCTCCTCCTCCTCCTCCTCCTGCTCCGCCTCCTCCTCCTGCTCCTCCTCCTCCCTCTTCCGCCTCCTCCTACTGCTCCTCCTCCTCCTCTTGCTCTTCCTCCTCCACCTCCTCCTCCTCCTCCACCTCCTCTCCCCTCCTCCTTCCTCTCACCTCCTCCTCCTCTTCCCTCTCTCCACCTCCTCCTCCTCCTCTACCTCCTCCTCCCTCTCCTCCTCCGTTTCCTCGTCCTTCGTCCGACTCATCCATGATGCACCCCCCCCTCCCTCTGCCTCCTCCTCTTCCTGCTACTCTTCAGACCTCATCTTCCCTCCTTCCCCTCCTCCTCCCCCTCCTGCTCCTCCTCCTCCTCCTCCTCCTCCTCCTCCTCCACCTCGTCCTCCTCCTCCTCCTCCCCTCCCTGCTGCCGCAGATGTCCTGCTCCTCCTCCTCCTGCTCCGCCTCCTCCTCCTGCTCCTCCTCCTCCTCCTCCTCCTCCTCCCTCCTCCTCCCTCCTCCTCCTCCTCCTCCCTCCTCCTCCTCCTCCTCCTCCTCCTCCTCCTCCTCCTCCTCCTCCTCCTCCTCCTCCTCCTCCTCCTCCATGCAATCTCCCTTAGACGCACCTCCTCTCTGTCGCTCCACCAAGGCGTGCCGGCAGGGCGGGCGGGCCGGGCGTTCCGCCAGAGGCTTCCTCGCCGCTCTAGGCTCCCTTGAAGCTCAAGAGCCTGCAGCGGCTTCACCGATGGAGGGTGCTGCCTTCTCCAAGTGCAGTCATCCCGTTTAGTAAGGATGCGGGCCAAGGAAAGCGGCCAGGGATGGACCGAGGATGCGAGGATGCAAGGGTACCCTGGGGAAGGTTGCCCATCCTTACTTTGCGGGTTGACTGTGGGGCTCTCGAGGCTCTCGACTCAGATGCGCGCGCACGCGCCTGAAAAATGCGCAGCATCTTCGAGGGGAGGGGGCCGTTTTCAAAATGCGGTTCTGGCCTCACCGCCGCACACATTGTGCTTGAAAGTTTGCGGGAGCTTCGAGGATGGAGCGGGCAATATTCAAAATGTGGTTCTCGCCGTGGCGCCGCGCAGATTCGTCTTCAAAGTTTGCAACAGTGTCAGGGGAGGGGCGGGTGGTTTTCAAAATCTGGCTCTCGCGTCTTGGCGCTGCACACACTGGTCTTGCAAATTCGCGACAGCTTTACGGATAGAAGGGCGGGTGGTGTTCAAAATGCGGCTCTCGCTGTAGCGCCGAGCACACTCACCCTGGCAGTTTGCAACAGCTTCGCGGATGGAGGACAGGTGGTTTTCAAGATGTGGCTCTCGCCTCCGCGTCGCACGCAGTCGTCTTACAAGTTCGCAACACTGTCGCAGATGGAGGACGAATGGGTCTCAGCATGTGGCTCTCACCTCAGCGCCGCGCACATTCGTCGTACAAATTCGCACCGGCTTCACGGCTGGCGGGGGGCAATTTCCGAAATGTGGCTCCCGCCTCAGCGCCGCACGCATTCGTTTTAGAAATTGGCATCAGCGACGCGGATGAAGGAGGGTCGATTTTCTAAGATGGGCCATCGCCTTGGCGCCACGCACACTCGTTTGGAGGAAGTTTGGTGTCAAGGATGGAGGTGGCTTGCTTTCAGCATGTGGCTCTCGCCTCCGCGTTGGGCACCCCCGTCTGCAAAAGTTGTGGCAGCTTCGAGGGTGGATGGGGGATCGTTCTTGAGATATGGCCATCGCTGCGGCGCCGCGAACGTCTGCCTTGAAAGCTCGCAGCAGCGTCAAGTATGAAAACGCGGGTCGTTTGGCCCTGGCCTGAGCGCCGCGCGCGTTTGTCGATACGATCTGGCAGTGGCATTACGAACCGAAACTGTTCCTTTGCAAAGCGGGGCAGACGCCTGCCTTAGCGCCGCGAACATTCGTCCTTCGTCCCAGCATCTTGCAGACGTAGTTATTTCAAGAAATAGGCACTGATCGAATTCAAAAACGAGGCTCTCGCAGAAACGCCGCGCGCAGTCGTTTTGTCATGCGACGGTTGCTTGGTACGACGGAGGACTGCTCTCTTTCAAGACGGAGTTCTCGCGCGGGACTGCGTTAAGCTTAAAGCCCGAACCTTCAACGAATGTATTGCTGCGCGGATCAAGGGCGGCACTTGTTGTCACAACAAGTGCCGCCGCCGTGTACAACAATGTTGTACATGGAGCCGTCGCTTGAGATCTGCCCAAAGCCCGTGTTAAGTTTGTGCACAGTTGCGCGCATGGACAGGCGGCCCTCCTTCGCAAGGGGCACCGAATTTGAACTGAATGACCATGGTTTCCCGCGCTGGGAATTATGCGCCAGATGTGTGCGAGCCGGTGCCTTTTCCAAGCGGGGCCCCTCGCCTCAATTCGAGGCCCAACGGTGCTGGTCTTTCAAGAAGGCATCTCTTGTGGTGACGAGGGAAGCTTGCAGAGGCGTATCAAGAGGGGGCTTGGGACGGGAGAGCGTGTCGCAGCAACACTGACGCATCTTGGGTTTGCTCTGGTCCTCCTCCTCCTCCTCCTCCTCCTCCCGCTCCCTCCCCTTCTCCCATTCCTTCTCTACAGGTCATCGTGTTCATCCATCGTCCGTCGTGGTCGTACGCCAGTCGGCGACGACGATGCACGATGGCGACGACGACGAACGACGGGCGACAACGACGAAGACGGCGGTGACGACGCCGCAGACGACGATGACGACGACGACATCAGACACGACGGCGACGAGAACGAGGACGATGGCAGCGGTCGCACAACACGATGACAGACACGACGGCGACGGCGTCGCTGTCGTCGCCCGTCGCCACCCCCAAATCCCCGACGATATGATGTTTCAATCCAACCGCTTGTATCCTCCCTCCTCCCTCCTCCTCCTCCCCCTCCTCCTCCTCCTCCTCCTCCTCCTCCTACTCCTCCTCCTCCTTCTCCTCGATCTTGGCCTCAGCGGGTGCAGCCTCGGGGCCCCAGGGGCCTGCAAGAGTGGATCGGGTGCCCTGCTGCTCCGCCGCACCTGCCCGACAATGCCTGTTCGGGATGGCTGCTTCCATTGAAGCAATCAGAAGATTGGAACCTTCTCCTTCCGCGGGTCGTCCGGCTTGGCCTCAGGAGGTCGCCGTGTTCTTCCGTCGTCGTCGGCGTCGGTCGTCGTGATGGTCGCTGTTCGTCCGTCCGTCCGTCCGTCCATTGTCGTCGCAACAAAAATCACGGCGAACATGTGCTGAATAGTGTTTGCCTTCAGGGGCCCTCACTTTCAACCAACAACGATTCGAGGTGAAAAACCGCGCGTCGCAGCTCAGAGGCGCGGCCCGGGCGCAAGGAGGGTTCGTCCCGAGCTGGCCTGAGACCGAACTGCTGGAAGAGAAGGTGGCCGAGGAGGGAGGAGGGCGAGTTTCGAAGTCGGTTTCGGCGCAAACGCGGTGACCAAGAGCGAGCCTGGGCGCGAAGAGACGATTCTGTCCTATCCGGGAAAGGGCAGGGCTGGACATAAGCGTTGTTGTTCGTTTTGTTTTCGTTGTGTTTTCCGTTTTGCTCAACCTGTTTTCCTGTACCTCCCTCCCAAAACGAAAAACAAAACACACCCGAAGTCCAGCAAAACAACGTTTAGGTCCAGCCCTGGGAAAGGACATGCCCGACTTCGGGGGCAGGCCACGAGCGAGGCGAGACGGGGTCTCCCTACCTTTTGCTGGGGGCAGTTGCAATCCTGGGCAAGCTTGCGAGCACCATCAACAGCGTAAGTCCCACCAACTGCTACAAGAAAGCCCTCCACCCACCAAACGGCTAACAAAACAAGCCATGCACGTCAGGAAAGTGGGGATGGTCGGCTGCCGTCCGCAGCTCCTGGACGAGGAGGGAGAGGAGCGGTGGAGGAGGAGCAAGGCCAAGGACGAAGATCGGGAGGGGAAGGAAGACGATGAGGAAAGCTGGGGAGGAACAAAAGAGAGGACGAGGAACATGGATACGGAAGGCAGCTCCCCGGCTGGATGAATTCACAAAGTAGTTTCAGTTCAGATTCCTTATTTCAGCTTGAGCTTAGGATTCCCTGCTTCGCATGGTGAGTGTTCTTTTATTCGGCGTTTCGACAAGCGGGGGGGAGGAGGGGGGGGGTCTGGCTCCGGACCTCTGCTTAAAGCGACTGTTTGCAATCGTGCGTCCATGATGGGGGGGACCCCACCCGCTCGAAACAAGCGCCCCAAACACAGCCAAGATCTACTCCATGGGGAGGGGAAGGGAGGGGGGGGTAAGAGGGCCCGGGCCGATCGCCACAACAATTAACAAAAAAACGATCACGTGAGCGGCGGGAGAGACCTGGCGAGATTCAGGGAGGGTGTGGCGCCCAAAGCGCCAAACTCCCCGCAGTCTGTGCTGCGCTGCAGTGTATGTGTTGTGCGTTGCAGTTCGTGCTGATGCATTGTGTCGCAGTTGTCATTGCAGTGCGGCTTGCTCTCCGAGACGTGTCCCAACTTAAGTTTCCTATTCGTTGTTTCGCGTGTCGGGAGAGATGTTGGGAGGTTCATGGAGGGTGCGACTCCCGAAGCGCCAGCCACGATGACCAGGAGGCCTCATTGCCTTTGCATGGCCACTATTATTGTGCGAAACAGCGCTCACGTGCACCGCTGAGTTTTGTGACGGCAGTATGGTTGTTGCCTCTCCGAATCTTTGGTGTAGCTTGAGCTTGGGACCCTTTGCGTCACGCGTGAGTCGGGAGAGGCTTGCGTCACGATGGCAAGAACACGAAATTGTCGTTGCATTGCAGTGCACCTTGAGCGTAGCGATGACTTGGTCACCCATTTGGTTCGCACCGGCCTGGTTCAACCT